TGAACAATTAACATTTATAACTATTTTGCTTCTTGTCAGTTTACCGGTAAAACGGAAAACCTTGGAAAAAGGTTGCTGCCATAATCTAGCTTCTTTCATTATGCAAGAAAACAGAAATGAGATTGTGGTTTATTAAGAAACAATTTCTGCACTAGTTGACCATAGAGGCAACCCCCTTAAAAAAGGTAAAATAAATACAATTTTAATAAGGATTCTTATTGATTTCGGACAACTTTCAATCCTGACTGAAATACATAACAGAGAAGTTTCAATCTAAATCAATTATCCAGAATCGCGTATCATAAAACCCCACTACAATTTTCTAAGTATCTTGATCGAAAAGGAAAAGATCAGCAGAAAATGAATTATCTATGCACTGGTAAGTGCTCCAAATATTTTGAGGGACGTGTTCCCCTTTTGAACGCTCTTTAATACATTATTTACTTATCAAACAAAAATAAGTACTCCAAAAATGTTCTGATGTCCCTCATTACACTAATTTTATTTCATCTACCAATGCTAACATAAATGTCACAACGATTAGTTTTATTTATTTATTTCATCTATCAATACAAACAGAAATGTCACAATGATTAGTTTTTTATTTCCAAAAGCATACCATCTACTTAAGGAAAATTGAAACAAATAATTGATACAAAAAGAGGCCATCTCGTCATTCTCTAATAGTTTAAGAAAGGAAATAAAAAAAAAAACATCCATGAACACCAAGTCACCAAACATATAGAGAGCAGTAACTTGGTAAAAGTTCATATTCTTTTAAATTTTCCATTTCTAAAAGTTACGTTTATTTTTTTTTTTTTTTTTGATAAGTAAAAATAACATTAAAAAAAGGCGTTCAAGAGGGGAACGCGTCCCAAGTACAAAAGTGGAATCGGGACTAAGGCCCCAAAGGATCCAAAAAAGTAATTAAATCATATGAAGAAGAACAAAAACTCCTCTTCACATAATTGAAGAGAGAACGAAGAATGTAAAGTTAGACCGTTTCCGTAGGCGACTCTTTTCCTTCGAACATTCTGCTATTTCTCTCCTTCCAAATGCACCATCATACACAATGTGGTACAATTCTCCAGAAATCGCAAACGTCTCCTCACTTAACAACCTCTCCAAACATGAATCAATTCCTTAGTAGATCGTGGCATAACCCAACACATGCCAAACAACCCAACAATAAGATTCCAACAATCAATCGCCACAGGGCAATGCAAAAGGAGGTGATTAACGGACTCCTCATCATCCTTGCATAGACAACAGCGATTAACTATACAATTGCCCCTTTTTCTCAAATTATCAATTGTCAGAATCTTTCTCCACACAGCAGTCCAAACAAAGAAAGCCACCCTATTTGGAGCCATAGACCGCCAAATAGTTTTCCACGGGAAGTCTCGATTAACAAAATTTGACAAACATAAGAACAAAGATCTAACTTCGAAACGACCATGAGAAGAGGGAACCCAAATTAAAACATCATTACCTCTGCCAACGCCCTGCTGTCGATACAGAAGATCCAAAAAAACACATACCTCGTCCATCTCCCAATCCTGAAAAGAGCGCCGAAAATGCACATCCCATATAATCCCGCTGCTATCAAGCCGGTAGCAGTCGACTATGTAGGCGTGTGTATCAACAGCAATACTAAATAATCTTGGAAATGTACGAGAAAGTGGCTGATCCCTACACCAGAGATCTTCCCAAAACCGAATACAACGTCCATCACGGAGTTTGAATCTGATATGAGCCAAAAAAACATCCCATCCCTTCCGAATAGCCTTCCACATCCCTACTCCTCCCACTAGGGTAACCGGACGCGTAGACCAACCTCCAGCCTCTTCGCCAAACCAACAAGAGACTAACCTGCGCCATGGTCGATGTCTTTCCCTCCCATATCTCCATAACCACTTACCCAGGAGAGCTTGATTGAAAGGAACTAATCGTCTTATTCCAAGTCCATTCAATTTTACAGGCTTACAAACTTCCTCCCATCTGACAAGGTGGTACTTGAACTCATCGCCCTTACCACCCCAAAGGAAACCCCTTTGAATTTTTTCAATCCTGTCTGCAATGGAACAAGGGATTTGGAACATAGAAAGAAAATAAGTGGGGAGGCTCGACAAGGTGCTCTTGATAAGAGTAACTTTACCCCCTTTTGACAAGTATTGCTTCTTCCAACCTACTAATCTCTTCGCATACCTGTCAGTCACGGAATCCCAACTCCCCACTAAACTTGAAGAGACCCCTAGGGGCAAACCCAAATAAGGAATAGGGAATGAGCTCACCCTGCATCCAAGGACTGCAGCTAAAGAGGAAATATCCGGAACATTCCCTACTGGGACAAGCACACTCTTTGCCACATTGACCTTTAGCCCAGAAACTGCCTGAAAACAAGTCAGAACACACCTCAAGTATCGAAGTTGAGACACATCAGCATCACAGAAAACCAGGGTCTCATCTGCAAAGAGTAAATGGGAAATCTCCATCTGATGGTCTAAATCTCTACCCACCCTGAAGCCCTTAATAAAACCAAGGTCCTCTGCCCTACGCATCAGTCTACTTAACCCCTCCATAACAACAAGAAAAAGGAAAGATGACAAAGAATCACCTTGTCTCATACCTCTAGAGCAACCAAAGAAACCGGCGGGAGAGCCATTCACAAGAACTGAAAACTTGACAGACGAAAGACAGGTCTCAATCCATTTCCTCCATTTACTTCCAAACCCCATTCTTTGTAACAAATAGAGTAGGAAATTCCAATTCACATGATCATATGCTTTCTCAATGTCAAGTTTGCATAGAACTCCAGGAATACCACTCCGCAATCTGGAATCCACACATTCGCCAGCAATAAGAACTAAATCAAGAATTTGTCGTCCGTCAATGAAAGCATTCTGGGAATCCGAAATAATTCCATCCATAACTTCCTTCATCCTTAAAGCAAGCACCTTAGCAAAGAGTTTGTAAGTAACAGAAAGTTCCGTTTATTAAGTAACAAATTTGAGCCCAACTTGGAGTTTCTTTGGGCTAGTAAACCATCAGATTCATTTAGAAACTTCCCATTTTTAAAAAAGTTGGTCAGTCACTATGGTGGTTAGTCTTACTTGGCTAGGATGTTTTCTGGAGTGTTTATAAATAAAGTCCATTAAACAAAAAGAGATCACTATAAACTGAAATTGAATTCGGAAAGTTCATTTGATTATAAAATTGGCAATTTTCAATTTCCCTTCCGCTATTTTTATTCTTCTCCTCCTTTTTTTTTACTTCTTATTTCTGTCAAGAAATTCCAGAAAGCTACTTACGTAAATCTAGCAACTTCTTGCCACCAAAGAACATCTATTTCAACCCAATTCATCTACAAACCACCAAACTCCCAATATATTTCTCAAATCGTAAAATTGTAAGAAATTCTTAGACTTACACTCCAAACAAGTGATTTCAGACATAATTTTCTTAGACTTGCATTGCTCTCTGGCTCGGGATTGTTGAGTTTTGTTGCTGGGCTTGTTTGGGGTTCAATGGGTTATGGCCAGGTCATCCAGAGGCTTGGAGAGGTTGTATAGTGGTGGCCCAAGTCCTTGATTTCTGGAGGGCTGCACCCTTGTGTGTCTGGTGGTGTGTATGACTTGAAAGAAATAGGAGATCCTTTGAAGGAAAGGAGACTCCTATTGGTGCACTGAAGTTCTCCATTATTAGCACTCTTGATTTTTTGGACTATTTGAGAGTTTAGAGGCCGTATTTGGCCTTGTGTGGCATTTGAGGGATGCGTTCCCCTTTTGAACGCCTTTTTTATATCAATCTTACTTATCAAAAGAAAAAAAAAGAAAAAAAAATTATCTTGAAAGATCATATTTGTTCTGCAACATTGATTTTGATAGAAACAATGCCACGTAGAGCAACATGCAGGATCATACAACAATTTATTCTATCATATGACATGATCAAATGGATACAAGTTCAATGAAGCCACCAGCTCATCTTATTAAGTTAGAAAATATTATATTAAAGTATAATTTTAATCAAGTTTCAATGGGATATATACTAATTTAGAATATCTGCCAAATAATGACATGCAAAGGATATCAATCATCTCATGATTCACTGCTTTGTGTCCACGAGTATTTGGGTCCATTTCCTCACTGGTTTGGCATGTATGAGAACATGTAAAGAGGAGAGTAGGCAACTTTGTTGAAATCTTCCATTCCAACGATTGGCTATCTAACTGTGTATCCTTTGACAGCGGCAAGTTATCACTTTTTGCCACTTCTTGCCAATTTGGAAAGAGTTTTCAATTACGCTACGATTTAAAAGAGATTATGACGATCAACTTATGAGCGATCGTCAAGTACTGACTTGATAGTCATAGACCATGGAACCAACATATTTCTAGCTGCAAAAGTTTATAGGCACAGGTGGCATATGCAAGACAGGAATTATAAAATACGATACCATCTCTCGTCCCCAAAGGGGAAGTTGAGAGTTCGGGCCACTCAAGGGCATGTTGTGAGTGTGTGTGCATTTGCTTTAAATTTCGGGGAAAAAAATGCTAGAAAAACATAATCAAATTAATATTAAATGCACAAACTATGCCATGGTTGAAAGTGAATCAAGCAACAAACTTATGGCACACTGCCAGCAATAACACCTAAGCAAAGGGGAAGTTGAGAGTTCGAGCCCCTCAAGGGCATTTTGTGAGTGTGTGCATTTGCTTTAACTTTCCAAAAAAAATATGCTAGAAAAACATAATCAAATTAATATTAAATGCACAAACTATATGCCATGGCTGCAAGTGAATCAAGCAACAAACTTATGGCACACTGCCAACAATAACACCTAAGCAGTAAGGTCATATGGAACTCCAGCTAACACCCACTACTATGTAGAAGTGCAGCCCTTTCTTGATATTTCTTAACATGAAATCATTAGTACTACTAGATATAGCAGTAGTAGTTGAAGAAGAAGAAGAAAATCTGAGCAATTCATGCACATACCTGGTGATAGGAGTTCTCAAGCTGACCATTTGACGGTGGAATTGTTGAAGGGGGTATTTGTGTTCTTGTCTGATCATTAACTCTGGAACCACGTCCTCTACCAGACACAGAATTTCCTTTACCACGGTTTCGCTTTTTCCTATGTAAATCAGAAACTGCTTTGGCGTCCACAGTTTCTACATGTTTTTGCTTCATGTCGGCCACTGCCTGATTTATTTGTCCTCAAACATCAGTACATAATCACTTTTTAGAAATAAAATCCAAGGGAGAATTTAAAATGATAGAAGCAAGCAAGAAAATATTTCATACCCTAGGAAAATCATGCCTAATAGGAATTCCATTAAATGACAGTATATCATCAACTACAAACAGACCACAAAGTTAAATTTAACTGCTCACATAGCATGGGCAATAAGAAAGATGAAGAACCAAACAATTATGAGAGCTAAAAGATCGAGAAATGAAACTAAACAACTATGCGCAAGCGCAATGGTATTTAACAACGAAATCACTCATTTTGAAGTTCCAACCAAATACCATTATCTAAGGATATTCTACCTCAACATCTTCAAAAGCAGTTGAGCTGTCATTTTCTTCAAGTTTTTGGCGCTTCTGAGTGTTTGCAATAACGCACCACCCCGCTACATTCTGGCATGAAAGTACAGACGTTGTCGAGGTAAGAAAAAGTGAAAAAAAAAAAAATATATATATATATATATATATATTAAAAAAATGACAAATATATTTAAAGGACATGTAAATCAGGTCATGATTAGTAACATTTGAAAGCAAAACTGTTCTTTATGAAAAAATTGTGAAAGTTTTAATAGAAAATATATATATATATATACCTTTTTTCATTTAAGGTTCCAATATTAATTAAATATTTGGTTACAGAACTTCTTAAAATGAAAATATATATATATAAAGACAGATGGAAAGACATGCACGTGCAGACATGTCAAGGAAGCATGTATCATCAGCTACAAGTAACCGTTCTTTAAATGCACGCAAGCACACACCTAAGTTATGTCATTGATGCAATAAATTTAATCTCTACCATCATTTATCAATCCAAAAATATTTTTTTCAATTTTATGCAAGTGTATGTGCATTTATGTGATTATGTTGTGTGTGCACTCATAAATCCCTAAAATAATTATTTTGTCTTTATAATTGGCTGTCCACTGGTGCAATGTCCCCATGCCATATCCACTTTGCCCCCCATACATCAGTTATTAATATTTATCAACCCCCTTATCCCCTACTTGCCCACATTTGGTCCAAAAACCACGTGAAACAACACTTAACTATATTTGATCTATAAGAGGGAAAAATAAAAATTGTAAAAAGCAAGTGTTTTGAAGTTCCAACTCATGTCACATAGAAAAGTACCAAAAAAAGAAATAAAGAACACAACACCGAATCCACTAATCAAATTCTGAATCCTAAAACTTGAGTCATCATAGATTTGCCCCTAGAAGAAGGCAATCCTAAACATCAACTCTGTGTGATGAATCCAACATTTAAAAATATATATATATGAAAAAATAATTCCAAGGTTTTGATAACAGTACAAACAAGCTGTTTTTCTTTTTTCTTTTTCTTTTTTTCGGTTGATAAGTAATAACAGTGTAAGCAAGCATTAATTTACAACAACAACCTGTTGCTACAAAAAAACATTAGTAAACAAGAGTAAAGGATAAATCATGTCTAACAGTATCAAGATTTCTCACAAATTCAAATCGATGTACAAATTCAAATCGATGTGAAACAAACAAAAGAGTTCAAAATGAGTAAAACCCAGGTTTGGACTTGACATTGGAAATGAAATGATGCAGACTTCAGCCATTAATTGGAATATTCTGCCAAAAAGGGTAAATTCATTATCAGAATTCAAGGGAAAATGGTTGCTTTTATATTTACTATTTGTTCAGCTGAAAATTTGAATCATTCTGGCACTTCAAGTTGTGGATAATCCAAAGTCAGTCGTAATTTCGATAGTTCAAATGCATTTTTAATTATTTAAAGCAGACTTCCGATTTGTCCGCAAATCTGCAACTTCAATTCCATTCCATTTTGCTGTACTAAAGTATCATAAACATGCTAATAACAAAACAACATGAAAAAACAAAGCAATTATAGTTGCAAGTTTTGACAGAAACCAAGACTCACATCTTCATCAGTATCACAATCACTGCAATCTGCCGAATCCTCCACATCAGCAACCTCAAACTTCGTCGCAGACGAAACAGAGGACCGTGTGGCCTGTGCAGGGGCAGGAGCGGCCAAGGAAGGCTTGCCAACCATCCGGGCTTCAAGCTTTGCAATCTTTGTAGACTGGTCGGATTGGTTGGAAGAGTTCGAAGAAAAATGTAGAAGCAAATCCTCTGACATTGCAGTCCCAGAGCAGATACGCTAGAGAGTACTCAGATCATACATACACTGCTTTCAACTCAAAGCAAACCCTAAAATGTTAATGTTCAATGCATACAAAGCAACTCTGGGTACGCCCTTTATGCCAAATACTTGATCAAGCAATGAAGAGCACAGTCCCAATTTAGTCCAAATCATAATCAAAATTCAACAGTAATATATATATATATATAGAGAGAGAGAGAGAGGGAGAGAGAGAGATAAAGCACTTACAATGAATGGTAGTATCAGAAGTCACTGAAATGATCGAAGGTCATAGAAATTGTATAACTCGAAAGGAAATGTGTGTGAAGTTTAGAGAGAGAAACAACTTTTAGAGTTTAATGAGAGAGAAAATTAGGGTTTCTTTGGGGGAAAGCGGTGAGTGTGGATGAATGCAAAATCAAGAAAGAGAAGATGGTGCAGGTGAGAGGATGGTCTGAGAGAAGGAGAGAGAAGGAATGTAAGATTTTAAAATTTGCTTTTGGTCTTTTGGGAGGAAAAGAGGTACCATGTGTTTGATTTGATCATGGTAATGGCTTTAGAGTTGTCACCTAAAAACAACAGAGGAAGAATACAACTACTACAGAAGAAAATAGAGTAGGAGGTAATTAGGTCATATGGAGGGGTGGCTTTGGAAAGAGGAAAATAAAGGTGCCTTTGTTGGAGTTTGAGGAATGTGATGTAGCTAGGAATAAATCTCCATTCTCTCCTTTGTGTTGAGTGTTTGGTACTTTGAACATAAATTTTATGTTCCATATGACCATAGAAGCAAGAGTAAATTGCAGATACATCCTTGAAGTTAATCACGATTACGAATACATCCTTTCTTATTTACAAAAATTCCACTCACCTTTCCATCAAAAACTTTGTATATTTTTGTTAGGGGTACAAGGCAAGACTATAATCTACTCCAAAAGCTTAAACCGTTGAAAAGTGTGCAACTTTAATATTTATATCATTCAACACACCCCATCACGTATAGCCTTCTTTTAGGTCTAACACTTGTTTTTCAATTTTAATTAGGATGACGGTGAAGTTTGAAATCGAGACCTTTAGCTCTGATACCAAGTTAATTGTCATCTACTTCAAAAGCTTAAGCTATTGGACAAGGTGTGACTTTAATATTTAAATCATTCAACAATAACCCAACATAAGTCAACTTTCAACTCGAGTCCAATCCGCTCTAAAGTCTTTGAACTTGGGTTTGGATCAAATTTGTAAATTGGGCTAGAAAATCAGTGTCGTAACCCAAAAAAATCATCATACGTGACGTCCCATTGGAGATATATACAAAGGGGATGGAGTGATTCATGATTGCCTTGGAAATGTGTTAGAGCCTAATGGATTTGTTTATGGGAGTCACCACCTGTGGACCATGTTTGACTACCATTTGGTTTACGTGAACCAAATTAATGAATTCAAAATTTGATTACGCTTCTCCATATGCTAGGCACCTCAATACCCCTGTACCAAGTAAAATTACCTATTTTTCATAATACATAATCCATTACATGGCCACACTCTTGGGCTCTAAGGGGATAAGAAAATGAGAGATGTGACTGAACCGAGAGATGGTCTAGGTTGCCTATGTATCCAATGCTATGAATAACGTAACTAAATTGTAATGTTTTCGATTTTTCTCTTTTTTCATTTTTTGGGAATTTGCTAATTTTTTAGGGTATTTTCGTCTTTTCTCGTTTTGCGTATAAGACACCGTAGGGTGTGCCGGGTGTGTCAGACTATTGGTTAGGACATTTCCTTGAGTTTAGAACTCTTGGAAATACAGTGGTTGTTATTTCAGCATTTTTTCATTTTTCGGACCGAAAGGTCCCAGGTGGGACCCGCTACCGGGGTTGTTGTGTACGGGAGTTGTGTCTTGGGTTCATTGCATTTTATGCATTGTCATTTTGTGCATAAATTAATTGTTTAAATTCTTAATTGTGGTTATAACATAATTATTGCATCTATATAAATTTTGTGGTGGAGAAGTAAAGTCAAAAGATTTTTTTTTAGTGGGACCCCCATCATTGCTTTTAATGGCCTTAAGGCCATCACACCATCACCACTTCTTCTCTCTCTCGGCAGAATCTCTCTCTCTCATTTCTTTCATTTTTTTTTTCTTTTGCCACCAATTCAAGGCTTGATCAAGCCTAGCCCTTTGGGAATTTGATAATACCACTTGAAGCAAAGTTGGAGAGCTCATCGAGGCTGTCATTTTGATTAGAGCCAATCACCATTTGGCCAACCTTGGAAATTTCGTAAATCTTGAGATTTTAGGGCTTTTCTTCTAGCTTTGATGTAGGAGTCTCTAATGCACACAATCTTTGATTTTGGTGAATTATTTCCTTGTAATTTGACTCCACCATGCCTCGATTTGCATTATTTTGGTTGTTGTTATATGGATTGCGTGTAATAAGCATGTTATTTGTATCCTTATATGAGAAATTGATCCCATAAACATGTCATTTGAAATTTTATGAAAAAGGTATGCTAAGTTTAAATTTTGTGTATGCCTAGAATGTCATATGTTACGAATTTGAGTTGGATTATGTTGAAGCTTTTGAGTTAATTACTTTTCAAGTATGCAAGAATGGTATAGATAAAATGTTTGGAAATTTTTATCGACATGGTTTGAAATATATGAGACATTCATGAATTCATTGGGAAAGAAAAGGGGAAAATGTTTTGAAAAATAAATGAAATTGTATTCGGAAAATGTCTTTGAAAGGTGTTTGCAAAAACCCGGACGCCTAAGAGTCGCTTAATGGTACGTGGTGTTCGTGTGGTCTAGAGAGTTTAGGGAGAGACCATAGCGAGGTTGAGCTACTTAGACCCGCGACGCCTTGGAGTTGCCATGTGGTCGGAGATAGCTAGTCAACCCTCGTCTCGTGATGCCATAGAGTCACCATGAGTCGGACTGCACTAACAGTTTGGAAAGGTGAAATGGTATTGTTTCAGAAACGAGGAGCGACATAACACGACATGACATTTCGTTGGCATATGTGGCACGTTTGGTAGTCGGATGACTTGTATACATACTTGTTGTTGTTGAGCTTTTCCCCGGTATGGTATCATCCCATTCTCTTTATTTTCTATTCGTTGTATGGATTCACGGGGTCATAAGAGGTGTGTCTTAAGCACCTCCTACTCAGCTTATTGTCACGCCCCGTAACCAAGAGGCTACGCCACGCAGACGCCTAGCAGACGATGACATGGAGCCTGCATGGACCGAAGCTTTCTAGACTTCTCTACACGAGTATGGAACTTTCTGAAATTCTCTAGAATAGTGTGGAGTTGTCTAGCCTTTTCTAGACTTGTCTAGAGTTGTATAAAATTCTCTAGAATTCTCTAGACTTGTCTTGAACATTGTACATAGTTCTAGAATTGTGTAGATATTTCTTTGGAGTGTTCTAGGCACTTAATCTAGGCCACACATTTGTATACATCTAGAATGTTCTTGTAAGGCCAAAGGCCTATAAATAGGAGGTGGGAGTTCATTGCTCACCAAGCAACCAAGTTGTAATCTTTCATCTTAAGCAATACAAGTTCTATACATTCCCAAACTCTCTTGCTCACTTATCTAACCTCTTCCTACACACCCAAGTAAGTAAAACACTTGTCTAGCCTTAGTCTTCACTAAGCTAGCACACTCGGGTAGGCTGACTTAGCGCTTCAAGAGGGCTTAGAAGTGTCTAAGGCCGCACGGGAGCTTGGAAAGGTTCAAGTCCGTGACAGTTGGTATCAGAGCTAAGGTCATGAGGCATCACACCTTGTGTGGAGGAAGCTATGACGGAGCTATCAGACGTGACTGGCACCCAAGAGGAGGATCTACGTGGAAGGGAAATAAATCCCCCTCCAATCGAAGTGAGGACGAGGGCTAGGTCGAAAGACATCATGGCGGGCTTAGAGGCACGTGTGGCAAACATAGAGGGGTCCATAGCCAACGTGTTGGAACAGTTTGAGGATGCTCACCAGCACAATGATGGGCTGGAGTCGGAGGACGCTGAGGTCTAGAATGCTGTCAAAGGGTCATTTAATGCCCTAAGTGGTGACTTTCGGCAGGAGCTCCAAGCATTTCAAGAACTTATGTTGGGGGAGTTTGCCATCCTACGTGGCTATGTTAATCAGGAGCTTGGCACTTTTCGCGAGCAAATGGAGGAAATGCGAGCGGACTGGACATTGTGCAAACGGCCGGTGGCGTCCGGCACAGCTACTACGGGGGTAGTAGCACCCCCGGTTGATATTCCCAAGCCTAAGTGCTATGGTGGGAACCAGGTAGCCAGGGAGTTGGAGAACTTCCTCTTCAGCATGGAGCAATACTTTGAGGCTACGGGCATGACCGATGAGACCATCAAGATACGCACGGCGACCCACTACCTCACCGACCATGCCATGCTATGGTGGAGGAAAAAGTATGATGACATAGGCAAAGGTACGATCTCTATTGATACTTGGGCTAATTTCACTAGGGAAATTAAGAAGCATTTCTATCCTAAGAATGCCGAGGATGAAGCCAGGGGCAGACTCCGAAAGCTAAAACAGGTTGGGTCGATTCGGGACTATGTGAAAGAATTCACTAACTTGACTCCTGAGATCCCGGATCTATCCGATAAGGACTCTCTTTTCTTCTTCATAGATGGCTTGCAGTTGTGGGCTAAAACGGAGTTGAGGCGGCGCAACGTGCAAGACCTTGCCACAGCTATTGCAGAAGCGGAGTCCTTTATTGATTTCAGCTCCAAGAAGGAACCCTCGTCCAAGCCAAAAGACAAAGACAAGGACAAAGGGAGGTATGCCGGCAAAGGTGGGGGAGACAAGGGCGCTGCACCCCACAAGGATTGGTCCCGTAAGCCAGGTGGTGGCCATGGTGGCAAAGAGGGAAGGGAGAACAAGGAAGGAGCACCCAAGCCTAAGGGTTCTAGCTTCATATGTGATGGACCATATTGGGTAAGAGATTGCCCAAAGAGGAAGACCCTCAATGCCATGACGAGCCACTACGAAGAGCAACAATAGGAGGAGGCGCAGATGGGTTCACTGCAAATCCTTAATGCCATCAAGGCTAAAACTGAAGTCCCTAAAGCGACGGCTAATGGGCTAATGTTCGTGGAGGCGAGCATTAATGGGACAACCACACGTACTTTGGTGGACATGGGTGCATCCCACAACTTTGTGAGCCTTGATGAGGCCAAGAGGTTGGGCCTCAAGTATAGCAAAGAAGGGGGCTCCATGAAGGCAGTTAACTCAGCGGCAAAAGGCTATACATGGTATGGCACACGGCGTCAGAGCATGCATTGGCGAGTGGGGTGGCCACATAGACCTATCGGTGGTACCCATAGATGACTTCAAACTAGTCCTTGGGTTAGAGTTCTTAGACAAGGTGAGAGCCTTCCCCATTCCTTTTGCTAACACTATGTGTATTATAGAAGGCAACACAGCATGCATGGTGCCGGTGGAGCGAGGCGCCAAGTTGGAAGCCTAAGCCTTGTCAGCTATGCAGTTCAAGAAGGGAGAGACTAGCTACCTCGCTACATTGTTGGAGACGCCCAATGATGAGCTAGTCCCTTCCCCACAAGAAGAGGTGCCTAAGGAGATACGAGCCGTGCTAGACGAGTACATAGACGTGATGCCTAAGGAGCTGCCTAAGAAGCTTCCACCTAGGAGGGAGGTGGATC